TGGTAGAGTGCTAGCCTTGAGCTGAAGAGCTGAGGGACAGCACCCAGGCCCAGAGTTCAGGCCCCACAACCGGACCCCCCCCCCAAAAAAAAAAGCTTTAAGAAGACATCTTGTGCTCACGTGGATTTTTGTTGGTGGTGGTGGTGGTCACAGGGCTTGGGTCCTCTCCTGAGCTATTTTGCTTAATGCTAACACTCTACCACACTGAGTCATAGCTCATGGGTTTTCTGGTGGTTAATTGGAGATAAGAGTCTCACAGACTTTCCTGCTGGGCTGGCTTTGAGCCATGATCCTTAGATCTCAGCCTCCAGAGTAGCTAGGATTACAAGCATGAACCACTGGCACCTGGCTTTCAGATAGACTTTTGATAAAACTTTCTACAGCAAGATATGGAGATTTCTCAGTTGACAATAGATTCAACATTGTAACCCTTAGTTTTTTGTTTTGGTGCCAGTCCTGGGCTTAAACTTAGGGACTGGGCACTGTTCCTGAGCTTTTGTACTCAAGGCTAGTGTTCTACTACTTTGAGCCCCAGCTCTATTTCAAGCTTTTTGGTAGAGGTAAGGATCTCATAGACTTTTCTGCCCAGATTGCCTTTGAACAATGCTCTTCAGATCTCAGGCTCCTTCTAATTAGCTAGGATATCAGCAGTGAACCAATGGCACCTGCCACCACCTTTTAAAAAATAAATTTTTGACATGATTTATTTTATATACAATTATTTTAGGGGTTGGGAAGGTGGCTCAGTGGTAGAGTGCTTGCCTCGCATGCATAAGGACCTGGGTTCGATTCCTCAGTACCACATAAACAAAAAAAGCCGAAGTGGCACTGTGGCTCAAGTGGTAGAGCGCCAGCCTTGAGCTGAAGAGCAAAGGGAGAGCGCCTAAGCCCAGAGTTCAAGCCCCACAACTGATCAAAAAAAAAAAGTTCACAATTATTTCATAGCCCTCTAGGGACTGGGGATAGAGCTCAATGGTAGAGTGCTTGACTAGTATGTGTAAAGCCCTGGTTTCAATCCCCAGAACCCCCCAAAAATAGTTACCGCTGTGTTTACCTGTAACATTCATTAAACTAATAATCTGAAAAGTACCACTTATATTTTTATGTCTTCCTTAACTGTACAATACTTTCCTGTGGACAAACAAGGGGACTTTTATTATATCCAGTATTAAGCCCAGAGTTCAAGCCCCATGACCGACAAAAAAAAAAAGAAAAATAAAAAAAATAACAGCCCTGTGCTGGTAGCTCATGCCTTTAGGAGGCTGAGATCTGAGGATCTCAGCCTAGCCAGCAAAATCCATGAGGTTTATTTCCAATTAACCACCAAAAAGCTGCAGTGGAGCTTTGGCTCAATTGGTAGTGTGTTAGCCTGAGCACGAAACTCAGGGAAAATACCCAGGACCTAAGTTCAAGCCCCAGGATCATCACACACACTCAACTGTTTTTCACTCATATGTGGAAGCTACACCTATAAAGACATACACATTCAAGGACATGAATATTTATTTGTATGATAAAGTCCGAGACTATCTCCCATCAAACTATTCAGAGGGGCTGGAAAGGTGGCTCAGTAGTAGAGTGCTTTCCTCACATGCATGAGGCCCTGGGTTCGATTCCTCAGCACCACATAAAAGTCAGAAGTGGCATTGTGACAAGTGGTAAAGCACTAGCCTTGAGCTGAAGAGTTCAGAGACAGTGCCGGCCCCGAGTTCAGGCCCCAGGACTGACAAAAACAAACAAAAAAACTATTCGGAAAAAGCTAGAAGTGGTGCTGTGGTTCAAGTGGTAGTGCACTAGCCTTCAGCACAGAGAGGCTCAGGGATAGAGCCCAGGCCCTGTGTTCAGGCCCCAGGACTAGCAAAAGAAAAAAAAAGAAAGAAATTGTTTAGGGAACAAAAGAAATCAATTGGAATATGTGTGGAAAATTAACAATATATTACTGTATTAATAATGTAGGCTTAAAAAAAAACCAACCCAAAACAAAAATATGCTTATACAGCATAAACAGGAAAAAAAACACCTCACCATGTTTAAATGGTATGTGATCAAACAATGTAACCAACAAATATAAATAATATGCTTTTTTTTTTTGGGTCGGTTGTAGAGCTTGAACTCCAGGCCTGGGCGCTATCCCTCAGCTCTTCAGCTCAAGGCCAGCATTCTTCCACTTGAGCCACAGCGCCGCTTCTGGCTTTTTCTTCTTATGTGGGCTCAGGAATTGAACCCAGGGCCTCATGCATGCAAGGCAAGCACTCTACCACTGAGCCACCTTTCCAGCCCCATAAATAGTATAGTTAAAACAAAATTTACCTATAATTATACTTACCTGCTGGGTACTGGTGACTCATGCTTGTATTCCTAGCTACTCAGGAAGCTGAGATCTGAGGATCACGGTTCAAAGCCAGCCCAGGCAGGAAAGTCCCTATGACTCTTATCACCAATAAACCACTAGAAAACCAGAAGTGGTGCTGTGGCTCAAGCAGTAGAGTGCTCGCCCTGAGCTGATGAGTGCAGGGACAGCGCCCAAGGCCAGAGTTCAAGCTCCACAATCAACAAAATAAACAATAAAAAAAATTATACTTACCATCCTAGCTGCTGGGTGTAATACTTGCATTTGTTTCAGAATGGTGGCACCATCATTTGTTATGGTTACATCACCTTTTCCATCTTGAATCTAAAAATAATTTTTTACATGTTTTATTTCAATGTGGCATTCTAAAAGCTCTCTATTCAATTTAGTACTTCATCATAAAGAAGTTAATAAACATACTTTCTGCCATCTATCTCAAAGTCAGCACTATGTAATGTGAACACAGTTCCAATAGTCAACACAATAACTTGCTTCACAGTATCCTCAAAAAGGCAGCAGCATTGGTAGTAGACAAAAACTTAACATTGAAAGGAGTGCTTTTCCTATCATCCACTGGATTTGAGGGCACAACACTCAAATTATTATTTTTTGTTTGTTTGCTTTTTAGTTGGTCGTGGCCACTTTGGACCTGGGCACTGTCCTGGAGCTCTTCAGCGCAAGGCAAGTGCTCTACCACTTGAACCACAGTGCCCACTTATGGCTTTTTCTGTGTATGTGGTGCTGAGGAACTGAACCCAGGGCCTCATGCATGCAAGGCTGGCACTATACCACTGAGCCACCTTCCCAGCCCCTCAAACTATTATTGTAGTATCTCTATTTTACAATGCTTCCAATCAACCAACCTAGTAGAAGCTCAAATCCCAGAATACAATATTAAGAAAAACTGGGATACACTCTACTTTTTGTGTCTTCCACATCAAGTAAGAATTAGTTAAGTATTGTTCACTGCAAAGTAATCTCTCCTCTCTCAGAACTCTACAAGGTACCTCTCCAACACTTTTTCTGACCAGGCTGGCTTAGAACTCGATCCTCAGATCTCAGCCTTCTGAGTAGCTGGATTATAGGTGAGAGCCACAGGCACCCAGACAGTTTTTACTATTTAAACAATACCTGCCTTTTCCGTGTAGCTGGGTAACAGACGTGAATCATCATATTCAGCATATTTGTTGTTCAAACCTCAATCTCTGCCTCAAAGTAGCTAGGATGACAAGTCTTAGCACTATGTCTGACTAAAAACAACACATCTTAACCCTTCATCAGTCATTGGACTATGAATAGGGGCACTCAATATATGTATGGATGAGTTAGCTTTTACCATTTTATCCATTCCTTTTGGTCCAAGGCTTGTTCTAATAGCATCAGCAACCGCTATAAACAGAAAAAATAAAAAATAAGTTAAGACTCTTTTTTTTTTGTCGGTCGTGGGGCTTGAACTCTGGGTTTGGGCGCTGCCCTTGTGCTTTTCAGCTCAAGGCAAGTGCTCTACCGCTCGCTTGAGCCACAGCACCACTTCCAGTTTTCTAGCAGTTTATTGGAGATAAGAGTCTCACAAACTTTGCTGCCCGGGCTGGCTTTGAACCGTGATCCTCAGATCTCAGCCTCCTGAGTAGCTAGGATTACAGGCGTGAGCCACCGGCGCCCAGCTAAGTTCAGATTCTTAAACAGCATAACTATTTCTAAATTCTGACTGAAGATTATTTCTTTAATTAATATAAAATAGACTGAAAATGCTGCAGTGCTACAAATCCTTAATAAATCAGTAAGGAAAACCAAACCTTCAAATAGTGGCCTGTATCATTATCAGTATGTTATGAAGAAACAGCTCAGCTTATTCCAGTTATGTTCTTACATGACTGTTTCTATTTTGTTAGTTAACCATAGGTTTCTCACAACTATGCATTCCATATGGAAGGACTAGCCCAAACCATTTACACTCCATGATAAGCTCAAAGCCTGTGTAATAACCTTTACGTTGTATACTTTAAAATTTGCATTTCATAGCTTTGGTCTACTATTTCTTATTACCCAGTCAACACTAGGTTTTCAATTCACTTTAGTGGACCAGGATGGCAAGGATTCTATAAAAGAAACTTCAAAAATGCTCTGATCTTCAAAAACTATTAAGTTTCTAGAAGATACCCAGCAGGCAAACAATATGCCCTGTGGCACCAAATCTATGGAATGATTCAGGCTGAATAATAACAAAAGAGCTACTGGTATGCTGTGTGTACTTCTTCACAACTGACAAATGGTACTCTTATCTTCTCCCCCACAAACACCAAAATAAACTTGCTGCCAGAGTTACACTAAACATTTACCTGGCAGAAGGAACTGTTTCATACGATTTTGACGTGGAAAAACTAGTTATTCTCCTTTGCTTTCTTAAGCTCTCCTACCTATGTGGTTAGGCTCACAAATAATTTAGGTGCCTTTTCTTCTTACATGCATACCCCTCATTTGTTCAGTTTCAATTATTTGCAACTTGTTTTATGGAAGGATAATCTACGTCCCATTTTGTATCTTTTACCTTCCCTTGTTTGTTGTAAATCAACTGCAATACACACTCTTACCTTTTTTTTTTTTTGGTTAGGAGGGTAGTTCTTGGGTTTGAATTTAGGGCCTAGGCACTGCCCCTAAGCTTCTTTTGCTCAAGGCTAGCACTCTACCACTTGAGCCACAGCACCACTTCTGATTTTTTCTGTTTATGTGGTACTGAGGAATCGAATCCAGGGCTTCATGCATGCTAGGCAAGCACTCTGCTGCTAAGTCACCTTCCCAGCCCGTCTTGATCATTTGATTGGCCCCAGAATCTCCCAACATCTCAACCCTAATCTAGTACACATAAACTTCAACTATGGCTCCCTTGAATGCATATGGCTCCTTAATTTACAGATATAAACTGTAAATGACCCCTAATCTAACTATCCGGTAAATCTGAATCCTCCCACCTGGGTTAGAAACTACCGTCTGTGCTTTCACCATCTGGCACCTACTTGCCTTTTAACATTACTACATTCCCAAGATCCTTATACTCTTTCTCACTGAACTGCACAGCAACTCTACAAATTAGCCATTACCTCAGTCCACCTAGGAATTCTCTGTAGCGGTAGCAAATGAAGTCAACTGCTTTCCTGGATATTGACCCTTCAAGATCTAGCCCAGCTTAACCTTTCCAATCCCACTTCTCATTCTGCACATTTTATTTTCTAATGACACTTCCTACATTCAATTGCCAGGTAAGATCTCAACGTCTTTGTTCTTATTTTTCCTCCCACGTTTTCCTACATCAATTCGACTTCACCTAAATCCTCACAACACTAAAAAAAAAAAAAATCCTCCTCCCCAATTTTGTGGGTAAAGAAACCTTAGTTCCGAGGTCAAAACTCGCTAAGTCACGAAGTCATGAGAATGAAATTTAAGTTTCCTTGATTTCTACAGAAGACAATACATGTTACTGGACAGCAGAGAAGACTTAAAAGCTCATGTGGCCTTCCGTAATTATTTCCAAAGATAGATGTCAGTGTGCCACACCTGAGGACAATGGGCCCCGCCCCAATTTTGTAGTGGAGACTACTCAGTTTCAACAATCGTGCCGGTTCAAATCGCGGTCTTATTAAATAAAAACGAAAACAAAGCTCAAGCGCCGTCTACGGCTGGGCCCGGTAGAGAGATAAGTGACTGCTTTTCAGTGTTAACTGCTCCCCGCTCGCATGTGTGGCGAATAACGCACAGCCTGGGATGAAAAAGACCCGCAAGCTCCCCAGCTGGGCGGGTCCGAGGCCTCCATGCTCGCCGTGTCCAACAGCGCCGAGAATCCCTCCGAAGAACTTCCCGAGGCAGCCGTACCCACCCCAAACCCGGGCGAGAGCGCCTGAGCTCGGCCCCGCGCGGCGGCGGGGCGGCGCGGGGAAGGGAGCCGTACCTTTGGCCGCGGAGATGTTGCTGAAGCGGATCTGGGCCGGCTTGTCGCGGTCCTGGTAGGCGCCTTTCCCGCGACCGCCGGCAGCTGCGGCGGCCGCCCCGCTCCGCGGTGCCACGTTTTCGGGCATGGCAAACCTGGCTATTTCCACGCGGGCTCAGGAAGGACGGATGGACACGGATTCTTGCCCGCCGCAGAGAAACGGCGCACGGACACAGTCTTCACGAACCTTCCAGAAAGCGGCGCCGGAAAGAGGCGGAGGCAGAAAGGGGGGCCTGGCTGACGGTGCGGCGCCGACGTGACGTCGCGGGCTGCCCGCCGCGCGCCGGGTGAGCTGGCTGCTCGCTCCGGAGCTCACTCGGGGTTTGTCGGGCCAAGGGTGTCCAGGCACGAGTTGCGGGCGGAGCGGAGACGTCGCCGAGAGGACCTGGGAGGGGCTGCGCCCACGTGGGCCGCAGTGACAGCGCGCGGCGTTGTAGGCAGGGGATGGGGCTTCCCCACGGCTCCGCACTCGGTCCTCCACCGTTGTGAGGCCCCGCGGCTCACCGGCTGGACCCAATGGCGGGGAGTGCGGCTCAGCCGGCTCTTTCTTACTGGCCTCAGTTTAAGGAATAGAAAAAGAGCTTTGCGATGGTCGTTGCTTCCCTTTGTCTTAAGTATTAAGGTTGGTTCATGGCGATTGATGGTGGGTAGTTTAAACACACGGATGGTTAAATGCCAGGGAATTGCTCATCTAGACTGCCTACTTACCACCGGCTCATTGACACTTCTACCGAACAGCCACCGACTCTCAGAGAACACAGACTGTGTAACAACTATTTAACTCCGTTATCTCCTGAGCAAAGTTCGAAGCTTTGCCCATTTTATCTCATCTAATTCTCAACAATGATCCAGTGAAATAAGTGCTATTGCCTTTAATTAGCTTAAACGGAACTAAAGCCCCATCGAACCTCATAACTAGATGGAAGCAGTATTCCAACACAGAAGCAGAAGCTGTCATGAACTAAACTGCCGAGTTCACATGATCATTAAATAGGAAAATTTATGCAGGCCAGGTTCATTCAATATTAGTTATTAGAAAATTATTAAGTACCAGTAAAATGACATTGTGCAATAGATTAAAGGGCTTTTGTTTTTCTTTTCTTTTCTTTTTTTTGCCACTGGGGCTTGAACTCAGCCTGAATGCTCTCTCTTAGTTTTTTATTCAGTGTTGGCACTACACCACTTGAACCACAGGTTCACTTCTGGCTTTTTGCTAGCGAATGAAAGAGAAGAGTGCCGTAGACTTTCTTGTAATCCTCAGATCTCATCCTCTTGAGTAGATTACTGGTACAAGTGACAGGCCCCAGGCTGTATTGGCAATAGCAGCCCCTGGTGGCATAAGAATGAATTTCTTCGGTTGCTCAACACTGTTTTGGAATTTGTAGGCCAGGCACAGGGTTTTGTCCAGGAATGCCATTTCCATAATATGCCACTTTGGCATATTTTAAGTTAGAAACACTAAAAAACAGCAGTGACCAGACTCCCACTTTGCTTTCTTATAGCAGGAGATAGAACTGTCATAAAGAAGATGTCTGCTTTATTACAGAAGAAGATTCTTATCAAGGACAAGAAGTTGAGACAGAAAAGTTCTGGACATACAGACCTTGGTAAAATAATTACTTCCCTTTAGACATCTCACAAGTTTAGTTGCTTTTCCACATTGTCTCTCTTTGTTCAATGAAACACGAAAGCATTTAGGATTTGCCAGTTTTTGAGGCTATTTCCTTAGGAGAGCTTCTATGTCACATAAACTACTTGATGTATTTATACATTTTTTTCTCCTGTTAATCTGTCAATTTAATTCTTGGATCCTGCTAAAAAATACAGAGTAAAGTTGAAATGTTGCCTTTCTACACATATATTTGAATAAGCATTAGATAGTAATGTACAAGTAATTAGTTTCTTGTGAAGGTAAATTTGGATTAGGGGTAATGGGGAGTTCTATAGGTTATGGAAATTTAAAGGGTCTACAGAAAGATTTGGGGGGGTGGGAAATTAATCTGTCAACGTTAAGCTGCATTTTGTGTATAAGTTACATATTGGGGAGACTGTATTTAAGGCTTTATCAATTTTTTTTTTCCGGTTGTGGGGCTTGAACTCCTCTACATGCTGTCCCTGGGCTTTTTTGCTCAAGACTAGCAGTCTACCACTTTGATCCACAGCACCCCTTCCAGTTTTCTGGTGGTTTATTGAAGATGAGTCTCATGTACTTTTCTACCTGGTTTGGCTTTAAATCTTGATCCTCAGATCTCAGCCTCCTGAGTATTTAGGCTTACAGGCATGAGCCTTGTGCTTTATCAGATCCTGAAAATATCTTTATCTTTATGATATATAAACATTTACGAAACATTATACAAGACTCATAGCTTTAATGTATAAATGAAGAACACATTAAAACCTATTCATATTTTTTTAAGTTTCTTTTTAAGCATCTTACTAAGAGAATTTTGGACTGGGCCCTGGTAGCTCATCCCAGCTAGACAGGAGGCTGAGATCTGAGGATCATAGTTTGAAGCCAGCCTAGGAAGACAAATACAAGAGATTCTTATCTCCAATTAATCACCAAACTGTCTGAAGTGGAGCTATGGCTCAAGTGGTAGTATATTAGCCTTGAGCAAAAAGATAAGGGACAGCACCTAGACCCTGAATTGAAGGCCCAGGACTGATATGTGTGTGTGTGCACACACACAAGAACAATCTACATTAGTATACATCTCAACAGAGTAGCACTGCCTCCAAAGGGGCATTTAATTGTTACAAGAATGGAGGGGTAGCTGGACACCGGTGACTGGCCTGTAATCCTAGCTACTCAGAAGCTGGGATCTGAGGATGGTGGTTCAAAGCCAGCCTAGGCAGGAACATCCCTGTGAGACTCTTCTCTCCAGTTAACCATCAGAAAACTGGAAGTGGCACTGCGACTCATATGATGGAGCTGAAGAACTCAGGGATGGCACCCAGGCCTACAGTTCAAGCCCCATGACCGACACCCCCCCCAAAAAAAAAGGATGGAGGGGTAGCATAGTACAAATTGGACAGAGACCAGAGATATATAACACATACACATCTTGCTATGCAAGATAATACATGGAAGTAGTAAAACAATTTTTTTAATTTAAAATCAATTTCAATGTTCATGTAAATAAAATTTTAACTCAGCTTTAAATGTATTGAAAACATTGCAGATTTGCAATTTCTGGTTTAAGTGAGGAAATATCTTCTTTTGTGTAAAACTTACCAATCAAGCCAGGTATTAGTGGCCTCATGCCTGTAATCCTAGCTACTCAGGAAGCTGAGATCTGAGGACCATCTTTCAAAGCCAGGCCTAGTGGGAAAGCCCAGCCAGTCTGAGTTGGAAAGCCTGTGAGACTATCTCCAATTAACTACTAAAAAGCCAGAAATGGTGCTGTGGCTCAAAGTGGTAGAAAACTAACCTCGAGCACAAAAGCTCAGGAATAGCACCTGAGTTTAAGCCCCTGACAGGCACAAACAACAACAACAAAACTTACCATTTTTCATGTTTTAGAACATGTAACCTATTGTGGCTTCTCTTTCTCTGTAGTCAATATTATTACATACCTATTCAAGTTACATTGTTAGAAGTGCAAAAAGATGCAGGTATCTGTGCTAAAAATTTTTAAATTATACACTTGAACCTAGCTGGTAACTATTTCCGCAGCATAAAACACTCCACTTCCCCATCCTTCTTTGTACACTGTTCATCATCAATGCAGTATATGTTATTCATGAAACCTTGGAACTCTGTGTGTGTGTGTGTGTGTCTGTGTGTCTGTGTCTGTGTCTGTGTGTGTATGCGTGAGTGCATGCGTGTGCGCATGCCAGTCCTGGGGCTTGAATTCAAGGCCCTTAGCTATTTTTGCTGGAGGCTGGTGTTCTAGCACTCCACTTCTAGTTTTTTGGTGGTTAATTAGAGATACGATTCTTTTTTTTAGTTGTGAAAATACCATACAGAGGGGTTACAATTACATGGGCAAGGTAATAAGTACATTTCTTATCAAGCATTGTTGCCTCCTCCTTTGTTTCCCCTTCCCATCCCTTTCCCTCTCCCCCCCTCCCGCCAAAGTTGTAAAGTTCGTTTTTTGACATAAGGACTTGTACATCTCATTGTTGCAATGGATCCACCTGTATCACTATTTAAACAATTTGTTTTTTCCCTTCCCCTCCCCAAATTATACCAACATCAAATACAGTGAAAACAGGGATTATACTGTGGGGGAGGGACATACAAAGCAACAAAAAAATCATCTTATAAATATGTTAGAAACAATTGCAAGAAAGAAAAAACATTTGAATCCTTTTCTTGGGGTTCATTTTGCCTAACATCAATTTATCTGATCATTTCTGCTTGTCTCAGACATATACTAGTTATTGTAAATAAGGGAAACCATGGGACCTATGTTTCTTTGGGCCTGGCTTACTTCGCTTAATATAATTTTTTCCAAGTCTTTCCATTTCTTAACAAATGGGGCAATGTCATTCTTTCTGATGGAGGCATAGAATTCCATTATATGTGTGTGTGTGTGTGTGTGTGTGTGTGTGTGTGTATACAACATTTTAGAGATATGATTCTTATGGAGTTTCCTACCTGAGCTGGCTAAATTTTAGCCCCTGTGTAGCTAGAATTATAGGTGTGAGTCACTAGCACTTGGCTTCAAATTTTTTTTTTTATGGTTCATGGGGCTTGAACTCTGGGCCCTCAGCCCTTCAGCTCAAGGCGAGTTCTCTACCACTTGAGCCACAGTGCCACTTACGGTTTTCCCGTGGTTTATTGGAGATCAGAATCTCATGGACTTCCCTGACCAGACTGGCTTTGAACTGTGATTCTCAGATCTCAACCTTCTTTTTTTTTTTGGTTGGTCATGAGTCTTGAACTCTGGGCCTGGGCATTGTCCCTCAGCTCTTCAGGCTAGTGCTCTACAACTTGAACCATAGCGCCACTTCCGGCCTTTTCTACTTATGTGGTGCTGAGGAATTGAACCCAGGGCCTCATGCATGCAAGGCAAGCACTCCACCACTGAGCCACCTTTGGAGCCCCTATTGAGCTTTTTTTATGCAAGGCTAACACTCAACCATTTGAGTCACAATTTTACTTCCAGCATTTTTGATGGTTAATTGAAGACAAGAGTCTCTTGGACTTTCTTGCTGGGCTGGCTTTGACTCATGATCCTCTGATCTCAGTCTTCCAAATAGCTAGTATTACTGCCTCTGGAACCTGGCAATATTTATTTTATTTTTTTTGGTCTTGGGTCTTGAATTTAGTGCCTGGGTACTATTCATTAGCTTTTATGTGTAAGACTAGTGTTCTACCATTTCTGGCTTTGGAAGGGCATGGGGGCAGTTATTAATTGGAGATAAACATCTCACAGACTTTTTTGCCTGCAATGGCTTTGAACTGCCATCCTTTAGAGTTCAACCTCCTGTAAAACTAGGATTACATGTGTGAATGACCTATGCTTGGTCTTTCAGTTTGTTTTTAAATGTCACCTACATTGTAGTATATATCAGTACTTTCTTTTTATGGCTAAATAATAAATCAATGTTTTGTAATTATGTGGGTAGAAACTTAAATTGTACATTTTGATCCAGAATTGAAAAAGAGGATGTTGACAAAATACTTGCTGTTTTGGTATAGAAGAATTTTGGTCAGAGTCACTGTTTTAATTCAAAAGACAAGAAACACGCTCATACAAAGGTAAATAAGAATGATGTTATTAGGAAATAGGTTTTTTGTTTGTTTGTTTTTCTGACTCTGGGGTTTGAACTCAGGACCTGCACACTGTTCCAGAGCTGCTTTTGCTCAAGGCTAGTGCTCTACCACTTGACCACAGTACCGCTTTTGGCTTTTTCTCAGTGGTTTATTGGAGAGAAGAATCTCAGGAGCCAGTTCTGGTGGCTCAAGCCTGTAATCCTAGCTTTTCAGGAGGCTGAGATCTGAGAATCTCGGTTCAGAGCCAGCCTGGACTGTAAAGACCGTGAGACTCTTATCTCCAATAAAACCACTAGGAAAGCGGAAGTGACGCTGTGGCTCAAGTGGTAGAGTGCTAGCCTTGAGCTGAAGGGCTGAGGGACAGCGCCCAGGTCCAGAGTTCAAGCCCCACAAAAAAAAGAAAAAAAAAGAATCTTATGGACTTTGCCCTGTCTGGCTACTAGGCGGGGAAGGTGATCCTCAGATCTCTGCTTCCTGAGTAGCTAGGATTATAGGCATGAGCCACCGGTACCAGGCTATAGTTACTTATTTTGCATAGGTAAAGTTGGACAGTGGTTAGATATGAATAGTAGCTTCTGTTCAGTTAAGAAGTTGGACTGCGATATAGTTATTCAAATTGGCAGGGCTGGAAAGATGGCTCATTGGTAGAGTGCTTGCCTTGCATGCAGGAAGCCCTGGTTTCGATTCTTCAGCACCACATAAGCAGAAAAAGCCAGAAGTGAAGTGGCACTGTGGCTCAAGTGGTAGAGAGCTAGCCTTGAGCTGAAGAGCTGAGGGACAGCGCCCAGGCTCAGAGTTCAGGCCCCAGGACCGACAAAGAAAAAAAAAAGTTAAATTGGCATCCTTATAGTGCAATTTCTCCAATCGCTTTCAATTTCTTTTTCCAATCTCTTCAAGTGATCTTTCCTTTCAGTAGACTCTTTAAAGTGATAAAGAAAATGAGAGGAAGAACTATGATTCTTCCAAGAACGGAACGGAATATGCTGCCATCTGGTGCTATTCTAAGGGGACGGGTTTTGCCGAAAAAGCTGGAAGCTAGTAACAGTTAACCCTAGAGGAACGCTTATTTCCGTTTCTCCTGAATGCCTTTGCCTAAACTAGGCCCAACTAGGCCCCCGTAGCTGGCCGCGCTCAGCTGTTGTGGGGGCGGGGCCTCCGCCGAGCATGGCGGGCGAGCTTGAGAGCGTCAAGCCCCTGAGCGGGCTGCTGACAGGCCTGGCTCAGGACGCCTTCCACGGGCACCCGGGCATCACAGAAGAGCTGCTGCGGGGCCAGCTCTACCCAGATGTGCCACCGGAGGAGTTCCGCCCCTTTCTGGCCAAGATGAAGGGGATTCTTAAGGTACTGCGGTTCCTGGAGGTCTGCACAGCAGA